CGGGCGTGGCGGAAGCTGGGAACATCTGCTGCACGAGCCCTGCACGACGCGTTCATAGCCATGGTGACCCCCCGTGGTTTGGACAGCATGTGGAGGGATTGGGACGATTTCAGCGAAAGTTCCATGGTGCTTCTGCCAAAAAACCAGCCAGCGACACCTCGGACGGCATGGGCTTCTACGCGCCCTCCAGCACGCGTCCACTCAACATCACCAACGCGGACAACAGGATCATCGCTGTTGCTGTGCGCTTGTGGATCGAGCGCCAGCGGTCGCCCCGGGAATCTCGGACTCCCATGGCGGGTTCTTGCAGGGCCGCTCTATGTTGGCGAACCTAGTGGACATCGACGAGGTTATGCTGCGCTACTCCCTGAAGTACGACGACGCGGCGGCGATCTTCTTCGATTTCGAGGCCGCGCTCCCGAGCGTGAGCCAGGAGTTTCTTGTGGACGTGGTGGTTGCCCGTGGACGGCCAGATTGGTGCCTCAACCTGGTCAAGGCGTTGTGCCGCAATAGCCGATGCCAGATCGTCACCCAGGGCGCCAAGTTCGACGGTTTCGAGCTGACCGCAGGGGTCCGTCAGGGCTGCCCTCTTTCACCTTTGCTTTTTGTTGTGATCTCGGACATCTTGCTACGTCGTCTTCCTCCACTGGTCCCAGAGTCCCTCCAGCGGGCTTGCGCAGACGACCTCGCCATGGCCCTCGCCCACGGCGCCAGGGGCGCTCCTATCCTCGAGCGCGCCTTCGACGAGTGCGAGCGGCTAGCGGGGCTTCGGCTGCGCCGGGGAAGTCTGTCTGGGCCCCTCTCTCATTGGTTCCCGCGGCGGTGGCCCGGGCGAACCTGCAGGCTGCAGCGCCGACTTGGGGAGAGTTCGCCGCGAGCCGGCACGCCACTTACCTCGGCTTCGAGGTGGGGCCCGAGCGCGGGGATTTGTTTTGGAACGAACAGTTGGAGAAGTGCATCGCGCGAGCGCGCACGTGGAGGGCAATAGGGGGTGGCGTGTGCATCGCCGTGCTTCCGCACCGCGTATCCATATTTCCCGTTTTTTGCTTCCTCATGCAATTGGGCCGCTTGCCTTCGTCATGGGGCGACTGCGAGCAGAAGGCGTGCGTGTTGCTCTTTCCGGGGCCGCGCAACTGGACGTCGCCTGCCGCCCTGAGGGGCCTTCGATCCCTGGGGTTCTCAGCGCAGCTCCCCGACGCCACCGCAGTAGCCCTGGCGGCCGCATGCCGGGTGCACCGTTGGGAGGCCGACGCCAGCGGCGGCTTGCGGATCCCGCGCCGGCGTCGCACGCTGCAAGACACGATCGGTGCGTCGAGCAAGGTCGCGCACTTGGGTACGTGGTCCTACTGGTACGAGAACAACTTCATCCTGAACCTCCATGCGGCCCGGGCCAGCCTCGAGTCTGCGCGGCGGCGGCAGGCCTCTCAGTCGCCCGGTTGGTCCAGGGATCATCCAGTGAGCCTGCGCCTCGGGGGCAATGGCAACAGCGGTGCCGTCAAGTGCTGACGCGGCCCAGCCAGCTGAGTTCCACCCGTGAGCTTTCTCGCCCCCCCCCCGCCCCCCCATCCACCTCTTCCCCAACCGCCGCACGCCGCAGGCGCTGCAGGTGCTTCGCGGCCTCGCGCCGCATGTGGCTCCCAGGGTGTGTGCTTCTCTCTACAGGGCGCTGTGCGACAGCTGGACGACAGCTCGCCGTTATGGACGGTGGGCTCCGCGCCCGTTCGGTTGCGCGCGCGGGGAAGACAGCCTTGTACGCATTTGCGGCTATCCCGCCCCGCATTCGAGGAACGGTTGTCGTGCTTCGTAGCTCTGGAGCTGGCGTTCTGCGTTGTCGAGCCCTGGCAGCACATTGTACATGCGCTGCTTCCTGCGCCGCCCCGCATAGCGCTACCGCGGACGCGGCCTGAGCTTGGTGGCAGCATGGTCGAGGCGCTTGTGCGGCTCACCCGCCATTGGCTGCAATAGTTTCTGGAATACGGCGGGAATAGCGTGGTCGTGGTATGTCAGGGTCCCTCCCCCTCCCTCCCTCCGTGCCCCTCCCCCTCTCCGTTGCTCCCTCCTTCTGTTCTCGTGCATGTTGCATGTCGCGTTATTTCATTCAGCCAATACTCGCTACTCCCGCAGTCTTGTGCGTTTTGACGTTTCTGTTTGCCCTCCGGACTTCGCCGCCCCCCGGCTCCGCTGATACGATTTGGGGTGAATTCGAATCGGCCTGCGTCTTGGTTTCCGTTGTGCGCATTATACAATTGACCGGCCTGGTCATACGGGGTGCCCGCGCAACGTTTTTGTCCAGACTCCTCTCCCGCGCGTTCTTTCCCTTCCTTTCCGCCTCCACCCCCGAATCGTCGTGAAAACTGCGCGTTTCACCACAGCAGGGCTGCGTCGCAGCGCGTGCCCGAAGGTGCTAGTTGTTTTTCTTAGCCGCTACTCAGAATGTTGTCCGTCATGGGACCCAGCTGAGATTGTGAGAACACTTTCGAGGCATTACGTTGCCAGATAAGGTACGGCGCCGCCTGAGCCTGTGAGGGCACTTTCTGGAAGCATTACGTTGCCAGATAAGGCGCGGCGCCTGAGCCTGTGAGGACACTTTTTGGAGGCATTGCGTTGCCAGATAACGCGCAGCGCCTGAGCTTGTGAAGACAGTTTTTGGAGGCATTACGTTGCCAGGGAAACATCAAACAATTAGCTTGGCGAAGGACCCAACCATATGCAGTTGTGGGTACTGCAATGATGAATATCTTCTTCAGTGCTCCCTATGGGGCCACGAAGCGCTGTGCTGGGTGGATGAAACACAGGGAGCAAGGGCTGTGCTGGGTGGTGGGGGGCGCATGCGGGTGGTGCCACTGGGACCTTCGGTGGAGCTCCTTATGGGGCCACGAAGCGCTGTATTGGGTGGGCGAAACGCAGGGAGCAAGAGCTGTGCTGGGTGGTGGCTGACGCATTCGGGCGGTGCCACTGAGACCTTCGGTGGAGCTCCCTATGGGGCCACGGAGCACTGCACTGGGTGGGTGAAATGCAGGGAGCAAGGGCTGTGCTGGGTGGTGGCTGACGCATGCGGGCGGTGTCACTGGGACCTTCGTTGGAGCTCCCCATGGGGCCACGAAGCGCTGTCCTGGGTGGGGGAAACGCAAGGAGCAAGGGCTGAGCTGGGCGGTGGCCGGCGCATGCGGGCGGTGCCAGTGGGACCTCCGGTGGAGCTCCCTATGGGGCCAAGGAACACTGCACTGGGTGGGTGAAACGCAAGGAGGAGGGGGAGGGTACTGGGTGGGGGGGACGCATGCGGACGGTAGACCTGGAACCTTCGGTGGAGCTCCCTATGGGGCCACGAAACGCTGTACTGGGTGGGTGGAACGCACGGAGGAAGGGGAGAGGGCCACGAAACGCTGTACTGGGTGGGGGGGACGCATGCGGACGGTAAACCTGGAACCTTCGGTGGAGCTCCCTATGGGGCCACGAAACGCTGTACTGGGTGGGTGAAACGCAAGGAGGAGGGGGAGGAGGGCCACGAAACGCTGTACTGGGTGGGGGGGACGCATGCGGACGGTAAACCTGGAACCTTCGGTGGAGTTCCCTATGGGGCCACGAAGCGCTGTATTGGGTGGGTGGAACGCAGGGAGGAGGGGGAGGAGGGCCACGAAACGCTGTACTGGGTGAGGGGGACGCATGCGGACGGTAGACCTGGAACCTTCGGTGGAGTTCCCTATGGGGCCACGAAGCGCTGTATTGGGTGGGTGGAACGCAAGGAGGAGGGGGAGGAGGGCCACGAAACGCTGTCCTGTGGGTGGCGTGGGGGGGGTGGACGGTAGACCTGGAACCTTCGGTGGAGCTCCCTATGGGGCCACGAAGCGCTGTCCTGGGCGTGGGGGACGCATGCGGGCACCCCCAGTGGGGCCTTCGGTGGAGCTCCGTATGGGGCCACGAAGCGTTGTGCTGGGCGTGGAGGACGCATGCGCTCCCCCGCACTGGGGCCTTCGGTGGAGCTCCCTATGGGGCCACAAAACGCTGTGCTGGGCGTGGGGGGCGTATGCGCCCCCCCCCCACTGGGGCCTTCGGTGGAGCTCCGTATGGGGCCACGAAACGCTGCCCTGAGCGTGGGGGACCCATGCGGCCCCCCCCCCACTGGGGCCGGCCTTCGGTGGAGCTCCCTATGGGGCCACAAAACGCTGTGCTGGGCGTGGGAGCCGCATGCGGCCCCTCCCCACTGGGGCCTTCGGTGGAGCTCCCTGTGGGGCCACGAAGCGCTGCCCTGAGCGTGGGGGACGCATCCGGCCCCCCCCCCCACTGGGGCCTTACGATGATGGTGATGATGATGATGCTGCTGATGATGATGGTGATGATGATGCTGCTGATGATGATGATGACGATGATGATGATGCTGATGATGATGACGATGATGATGATGATGATGATGATGATGATGATGATGATGATGACGATGATCATGATGATGATGATGATGATGATGATGATGATGATGATGATGATGATGATGATGATGATGATGATGATGATGATGATGATGATGATGATGATGATGATAATGATGATGATGATGATGATGGTGATGATGGTGAGGGTGGTGTTGGTGGTGGTGGTGGTGGTGGTGGTTGGTGTGGTGGTAATGATCATGATCGTGGTGGTGATGATGTTACGATCCTGATGCTGCTGATGATGATTTTGATGATGATGCGATGATGATGATGATGATGATGATGATGATGATGATGATGATGATGATGATGATGATGATGATGATGATGATGATGATGATGATGATGATGATGATGATGATGCTGATGATGATGGGAGGAGGGGGTGAGCTGAGACATGCGGAGAGCAAAGGCAAGGATGGGGGAGGATGGAGGAGGAGGAGAGGAGGAGGAAGGAGGAAGGAGGTGGGACGCGGGGCGCTGTCTCTTCAAAACGAGGACCCAACACCACAGGATGGTTGGGAAATACTCCCGCGCGCGCGGCGTTGCCTGCTTCGCCTGCCGCGGCAGGACCGCCTGGTTGCCATCGGCGAGGTGGAGCTTCCGGACGGCGACAGCAGGAAGTACAAGGAAGATGCCCCCCCTTGTCCTCCTCCTCTCCCTCCCTCCCTCCGTCCTCCCTGCCCTTCTGCTTGCTCGCCCTCCTCCTCCTCCTTCTCCTCCTCCTCCTCGTCCTCCTCCTCGTCGTCCTCCTCCTCCTCCTCGTCCTCCTCCTCGTCTTCCTCCTCCTCGTCCTCCTCCTCCTCCTCCTCCTCCTCCTCCTCCTCAGGTACCTCCTCTTCCTCGGGTGTCTCAGGCGCGCCCTCGCCGCCGCCCGCGCCCCAGTCGGGGGAGCTTGACCTCCTGCGTACGCTCGTCCCCCTGTCCTCAATCCTCCTCCCCCAATCCTCCCTCCTTGCAGACCGCTCCGCCTCGGCGCACCGCCACGCGTGTCGGCAGGGTGGGCCAAGCATTTCGCCCGATGTTTCTTCGCCGCTCCTGGTCCTGAGGCTTGGCGTGGCATTTTGTTCGTGACGTTTTCACGGTGTGGTGGAGGCGCCGCGCACATTCGCTGCAAGAACGTCCAGCAGCCACCAGGATGCTGTGGCTCGCGCTGCACGGTGTCCCACCTTTTCGCGGCCGAGGACCCGGAGAGGGTGAGAGGGTTGGCACGACAGCGCAGGCCGCTCGCAAGAGCCGCGCCATGTTCCTCTCAGGGCGCTGGCCAGCGGTACGAAGCCACGGAGCAGAGTGGCAAGGACTGGTGGACAGCTCATCGTGTTCGCCAACCCCGGACAGCACGAGCGGTGGATCGACGGTGGCGGGTCCTCGATTGGCCGGAGCACACGCGGCCATGCACAAAGGACTGGCGTTCGGCCCGTGGCGCCATAAGCGGCGTGTAGGTCCGTCGCCCGCTTGAGTTCTACCTCGCACGTCTCTGGGGGCGACGGATAGCCACGAGCGCAATCTCGTCCAGCAGCGACAACCAAGGGAGGAAAGCACACACCGACCCCCATAATTGGTGTTTATCGGCCACGCGCGGGGGGCCGGTTAGTGGGAGGGGGAAAGCTTCTTAGAAACACCCTTCTTCTTAGAAGTCGCGGGCCGTGTCCTCAGATGTAAGGCCGGCGCCTTCTAAGAAGCAGCCTCCTTCTAAGAAGCCTCCCCCCCTCCCCCTACTCCCCTCTGCGCGCCGCCGAATTAAGCTAAACAGCCCTGCCCTGTTCGACTCCTGCCCCAGGTGCGTCTGCGAAACGGCGTCGCGAGTCGGTGTGCTTCTGACGAGGGTGGCTCCTCTGCCCTCCGGCCCTCGTCCGAGCACTCCCCTGCGCACACTCTGCAGCACGCCTCGTGCAGGCTCGTGCAGCAGCTGGGCCGACCCAGGGGCGCCTCCTCTCCAGAGCGTGGCCATCGCCGGACACTCCCTTGGTTTCTTTGATCTCCTCCTCCTGCTGCTCCTCCTCCTCCTCCTCCTCCTCCTCCTCCTCCTCCTCCTCCTCCTCCTCCTCCTCCTCCTCCTCCTCCTCCTCCTCCTCCTCCCCTTCGCGACTGTCAGCGCTGCGCCCCTAGCAGCCACTTGCCGGTTCGTCCGAGGCTGGTCTGCCTGGGGCCGCGCGCGCGCCGTCTTGGCTTCTTTCTAGCTCCGCAGTGCCCCTGGCAGCCGGTTCGTCCGAGGCTGGTCTGCCGAGGGCCGCATGCGCGCAGGCTTGAGGGAGATCTTCCTTGGTTTTTGGGGCTGCCTTTCGTCGGTCGTGTGCTGTGGGAGGGAGTGTGGCAGTATCGTTGACGCATCCGGGGTTTAACTCTGGCCCCCCCCCTTCTCGTCCTCCCTCCTCCTTCCGCGTCCCTCTTCTCCCCCTCCCGCCTTTCCCCCCTCCTGCCTTCTCTTCGCCTCCCGCTCGCCCCTCGCCTCCCCTCCTTCCTCGTCCCTCCTTCCTCGCCCCCCCTTCCCTTCTCCTCCTTCTCCTCCCGCCCCCTCCTCCGCCGCCCGGGCGTGACAGCCGGGTTCGTGCAAGAAGAGCCGCCGCCGCTCTCGCGCCGTCGGCACCCGGGAAAGGAGGGGGGGGGGGATGCGTGGAGGGAGGGACGGAGGGACGGAAGGACGGACAGGCGGACGCGCGTTCCCGCACTGTTCCAGGGTGAAGCAGCAGGCACTGCGATTGCATACGGGCTGTTGGCGAGTGCGCTTCCGTCAGTGTGGACGAGGAGGCGTCAGGCTAGCGGCCCGTCTACTGACGCTACGAGCTCTCGAGCTGGACAGGTTGCCGAAGAAAGACGGACGCGTGGGTGGGTGGAGGGGGGGGAGGAGGGGCAAACAAAAAGGAGGGGGTGGGAGAACGAAAGGGAAGAGGAGGATCATGATCGGGAGGAGGAGGAGGAGGAGGAGGAGCAGGAGGAGGAGGAGGAGGCGGAGAAGGCGGAGGAGGCGGAGGAGGAGGAGGAGGAGGAGGAGGAGGAGGCGGAGGCGGGAGGCCCGGCAGGGCCAGAGGATGATGATGATGATGATGCTGATGATTATGATGCTGCTGCTGCTGATGCTGCTGCTGCTGTCGATGATGATGCTGTTGCTGCTGCTGCTGCTGATGATGATGATGATGCTTCTGCTTCTGCTTCTGCTGATGATGGTGATGGTGATGGTGATGGTGATGGTGATGGTGATGGTGATGGTGATGGTGATGGTGATGGTGATGGTGATGGTGATGGTGATGGTGATGGTGATGGTGATGGTGATGGTGATGGTGATGGTGGTGCTGCTGATGATGCTGATGATGATGATGTGATGGTGCTGCTGCTGCTTGATGATGATGATGCTGCTGATGATTATGGGTGCTGATGATGCTTCTGATGATGATGATGATGCTGATGCTGGAATGATGACGATGATGAGGTGATGATGATGATGATGATGACGATGGACGATGATGATGATGATGAGGATGAGGATGATGATGTGATGATGATGATGATGATGATGCTGATGATGATGATGATGATGATGAGATGATGATATGATGATGATGATGATGATGTGACGGTGATGGTGATGATGGTGTGGATGATAGTGATGGTTGATGGTGGAGAGGAGGAGGAGGAGGAGGAGGAGGAGGAGGAGGCGCAGGCGGAGGGGAGGAGGAGCGGGCGTGGAGGGGGGATGGACGAAGGAGGGAGGGACGGACAGAGTGACGGACGGGTGTGGGGAGGGATGGGGAGGGGAAAAAGCGGAGCTGAGGTACGAAAGGTGGAGGGATGGGGAGGGGGGAAGGGGAGGGATGGGGAGGGGCTGAACGGGGGAACTGGGTGTCAAAAGTGGGACCGTGGCAGCAGGTAGGCATACTTCTTGAACGGGGGAACTGGGTGTCAAAAGTGGGACCGTGGCAGCAGGTACGCATACTTCTTGTAGGAGGCTTACATGTTATCATTGCTACTCTTTGTAATCAGGCTTTGGAGGCGGAGTATGAGGGAGAAGGGACGAGCGAGGATGGATATTGGGGGAGGAGCGAGGATGGGGATGTCCGTCCTCTCCGTCCTCCTCCTCCTCCTTCTCCTCCTCTTCCTCATCCTCCTCTTCCTCATCCTCTTCCTCCTCCCCCTCCTCCTCCTCTTCCCCCTCCTCCTTCTCCTCCTCCTCCTCCTTCTCCTCCCCCTCTTGCCTGTCCTCGTCGTCGTGGTTGTCCTCCTCCTTCTCCTTTTGCCCGTCCTTCTCCTTTCCCTTCTCCTCCTCACCCGGGGAAAGGGGGATGTGGGGGGAGGGAGAGGCATAGGGGGGGGGGCGATACGAAGGGGAGTGACGAGGAGGGTAACAGGGAGAAGGAGGGTAGAAGGAGGGAGGCCAAGATTGTTGCGCTCGCGCCGTATTTGACGTCATACCCCTCCCTCCCATCCCTTACCCCATGGAGTTGAACCCCCTCTGATTGCAGAGTCTAGTGTTCAAGAAGACATGTACCCCGAAAGGGCAGCTTCGTTCGAGAGGGGCCCGGAGATAAAGATATGGCAGGGGGTATGAAGAAGGCCGAGGGGAATGGGAATGAGCATGACAGAGGAGGATTGGCGCTTCCACCAGAAGGGACATCCGGTGTAAGTTTTGCATCGCATCGTGGCAATCGCTTCAACGGGTGTACCACTTTTGCTGATGCAAGAATGTGGCCAGTGATGGGGCGAGAGCGACGTTCCGTTGGATGGTGGCTCCCTGGGGCTTGAACACATCCATTGATGGGCCGAGAACGTTCTGATTGGACAAAAACATGTCAAACATCGCCTTTGGACCACCAATCGTGTGTCAGAGAAACGCCGCATACTGGATTCGCGGCGGCACAAGGAGCGGAGCAAGGAGATGACAGAGGGGAGCGGCGAGGGGGGAGCGGGGATGGGCACAGGTCTGGTACGGAAACTGCTTGCCTGTGCTCGTGGCTCAGTCTCTGAGTGATCTGGCGCCCA